TATATGTGTGTGTGTGTGGTGGTGTGTGTGTGTGTGTGTGTGTGTGTGTGTGTACACAATCACAAATTCTTGGGCAGTTGAGCTTCCCTTGTATCACCTACAGTGGGAGGAGGGGTGACTGTAATGGGATAGAGTAGGAAACTGCTCTTTAGACATCTGTTGCAAGACTGGTGACATGCTTAATAATACTGGTTGTCTCTTGTGAGATTTCTAGGCGAGTTTTGTAATTCTCGCCGTAGGTGTTGTAGCACCTACTTGATTCAGACTGCAATTGGCACAGCAGACCGAATCGTGAAACCCATTGCCCACAAGCTTACTGGCGAGGTCAGCTATATGAGTTCGTGGACATGCTAACGGCTAACGCAGGGTTGCTCACATCCTGGAACACAACGATGAGTGGAGATCTCGTCTTACACACAAGAGAAAACTTCAAGGTGCGCCACCCTGTTTAGTGAAAGAAGTATAAGATTGGTCTGCTATTTCACTGATTTACTGCCGCTGAACACACGCGCAAGTTTGGACTGGGTGAGGTCAATTTCGACCAAGAACACATGCAATATTTCATCATAGAAATGAGAGTATTAGGTAATAAATATCGTAGACTAAAATAAAAACATTCTGCCTCGTCCGCGAGACTTCAAACAACATCATGCAAACATGGACATAGAACCATGGTCTATTGTTGTGTTTAAGTGATATGCCCATGTAGATGTACTTCAAAGTTAAATACTAAGTACATAATCTATTATTATATGAAGACCATAGTATTCAAGTGACTTTCAAATGATAAATCCAAGGTCTTTTGTTATGTAAATGATAAGACCGTAGTATTCAGGTGTTTTCCAAATAAATCCATAATCTTATGTAAATGATAAGACCTAAATGATAACACCATGGTATTCAGGTTTATTTTAAATGATAAATTTATGTATGTAAATGATAACACCTTGGTATTCAGGTGTATTTCAAATGAAAAATTCATAGTCTATTGTTATGTAAATGATAGATAAGACCTAAATGATGAGACCATGGTATTCAGATGTATTTCAAATGAAAAATACATTGTCTATTGTTGTGCAAATGATAAGACCTAAATAAAATGACCATAGTATCAAGTGCATTATAAATGTTATACCTATAGTCTATTGTTGTGTAAATGATAAGACTATGGTATTCTGGGATGTAAATTTTAAGATTGATGAACATAGCTGTGTAAATTCAAGCTTGTGCACAATGATATTATGCATATAATAATACCATGGTATTCTGTTGCGTAAATTTATATGACCATAGCACATTGTTGTGTAAATTGAGGTATATTAGGTTATCAGTTATCGATGTCTGTATTGTATTATAAGCGCTGGCGATAGTGTATCTTGGCCTGGCCACCGTCAGCGCTTGAGCCTCCGGTGCTCAACAGCTGGATATGTAGAACAACCAGTATGTTCCTAGTGTGACGATATCCAGACTGATAGCATCCTATCACTGTGATGGGGTAGTATACTACTGACTACACTGATCCGGAAGCGGCCAGCATATGAGCGTCGTCCATAATCAGTGGATCGTCGAACATCATGTCCATATCCATATCCTTGCCCACAGTGAAGGACAGGGGGGCCTCTACATCACCCCACTGGACCTTCAGCTTACGTTTGTCATCTTCGGCCTTCCTGCGGCGCCACAGTACAGCTCCTACTGCCCCTGCGCCCAACAACAGCGCAGCTGCACCCGCTACTGCACCACCTATGATGACGGCCATGTTGTTACCGCCATCGTCGTTGATACTCTCTGCGGATGTATCACTGTTGGAATCGGCGGCGCTGACAGTCACTTCACCTGTCATGGGGAGGGCAGTGTTTGTTTAGAAATGAAGAAGTCGTACAACAGACAAGATATGAAGGGTAATTAGGGTTTAGAGATGTCAATTGGAGATGTACGTACACATATGGCAAAATACTTATCTAAACATAAACGTACGAATAGTGTAACAATTCTTTACTGGCGTATTCATGTGCACATGCATGCAGATCCAGTCCCATCTATGCAAAGTAAATAGAAATAGTCATGCACAGATACCACTATCTACACTCCCCAATGAGACGTTCACATACCGTTGCCAACATCGTACGACTCTATGCCCAGGTCAGTGAGCTGCGACATTTGCTCTTCGGAAAGGTTATCCATTGCAGCTTTCGCATCGTCATCAAGCGATGTAGCGACAACCACAGATCCAGCGTTGACTGACACAACAATAATACGTGATGGGGTAACATTCAATACACCCGATAGGTTCTGCACAAATGTATCTTGTGCTTGCTGATCAAATGTGGCGATGTCCCCAGCGATGGTGTAGGTGGTGGGTATGAAGCCACTGCTGTTGTCATTGTTGTTATTCATAGGCTTGTTCACGTCAGAGCTACTATTGTCATTGGCGCGACCATTGTCCGGCTGTACCGTAAATAACTTATTAAAATCATCTATGCTACCATCGAAATCGATCTGATTGCCGTCAAAATCATCATTTATACTGATTATTTCATCGGCTCCAGGGAATATGATCTCGTCGATGTTTGGGGACACATCATCGCCAGGGAAGTCGTCAGCGTCACTATCGTCACCAGGGAAGCTGTCAGTACCACTGTCATCGCCAGAGTATTCTTCAGCATCATTAGCGTCACCAGGGAAGCTGTCAGTACCACTGTCATCGCCAGAGTATTCTACAGCATCACTAGCGTCACCAGGGAAGCTGTCAGTACCACTGTTGTCGCCAGAGTATTTATCAGTACCACTGGCTTCACCGGGGAACGTCTCAGAACCACCGGTTCCGTCCGGGTAATTGTTAGAGTCGCTAGCTTCGCCGGGCAAATCCTCGGAACCCCTAGCTTCGCCGGGAAAGTTGCTAGAATTCTCATTATCCTGTGCGAGAGGCTCTCCAGAAAACTGGCCATCCAATGTCTCTTCTCCGCTATTCATGTCCTCGTTGTCCAAGTTTGTACTTAGGCTCGTGTCTTGAACGTTTTCTCCAGGAAATCCCGAACTGGAGTCCTGGTTTGACTTGACGCTAAATTCGTTAACACGTGCATCAGATTCTGCATCCAGTTTCTCTTCTCCGTTATTCATGTCCTCATATTCTAGATTGTTTTCATGACTTATAGCTTGGCTTCTGCCTGAAGGAACTCCCGAACTAGTGCCCTGGTCTGAGTTGGCGATTACCTCGTCTACACGTGCACTGGGGACGTATGGCCCCTCAATTTCTGTATCCAATTTCTCTTCTCCGGTATTCATGTCCTCATAGTTCCCGGTTTATATTTTGACTTATAACCTGGCTTCTGCCTGAAGGAACACCCGAACTAGTGCCCTGGTCTGAGCTGGCGGTTACCTCGTCTATACGTGCTCTGGGGACGTATGGCCCCTCAACTTCTCTATCCAATTTCTCTTCTCCAGTATTCATGTCCTCATAGTCCAGGTTTATATTTTGACTTATAACTTGGCTTCTGCCTGAAGGAACTCCCGAA